AGCATCATACTAACTTAGACAAATAACCAAATGCATTTTAATAACCATACGCTGTTATTATCTCCACGTCTCATAATATTGTTGATAGGCTTAATTAAAGCAATTAACAAATTAAAATACTAAGTGAAGCTGATCTGATTTTGGCATCGCCCAGTAAGGCACCCAAGTGAGCTTAATTCATTCAGCTATAGTAAATAAAAGTCTGAAGTAGNAGCTGATGAGACTCACATCTTTTGCTCATCAAATCAATGTCAATCAAAAGTCAGCAAGTTCAAATTCTTTTCATTTGACATAAGCAAGGTTTTAAAACAGAGAAAAAAAAATCAGGAGACGCTTCCAAACCAAAACTTTATCCAGGATTTATGAAGTCAAACATTGAGCTGCCCAGACAGGCATCAGCTCATTGGCGGTTCGCACGTAGGTCACGTCACTGACTCCACCAAACGTGTTGCTTTGCTTGATCTGTTCATGAAAATGTGAAAAGATGTCAAGAAAGCTGTGAAATAATGGCATTTTTAAAAAATCAAACTGTACTGTAGCCGGTCTCGTCTGAGCCGCTCCGAAGCTGAACACGGACCTGAACAGAATTTCATTAGAGCTCAGTCAACCCAGCTAAACTAAACATTTACATGTTATACATCCACTATAACTATAATGATATTTTACAAACATAGCACTATTAATCATGCAATAAGCTTCATTAATTACTAATGACCCAAAGTGTTTTGTTCAGGTTACATTAACTTCACATGATTCAAATACTGATAATGATTAGAATAAAAAGAGTACATTGTCACCTAAAATAATGGCCAAAGTCGTTTTTTAGCAAAAGTGATTTTGGGGGAAAAAAAACAACAAACAAAAAAACCACTGCCTGTTTCTTTCCAAAAGATGTTTTGGAAAAAAAGAAAAGAAAAACAAAAAACTTAGGCCATTATTTTAGGAAGGTGAATTTGAATATAATTTAATCAGTATAATTTACTTGAGTTCTTACAGAAATTGTTCTGAGGCTTCTATTGATTTATTATTGATTCATATTAGAACAGAATGTACCTTTATTTATTTCTTGCCCCTTTAAAGATTTATTTCAGATCGTTTCAAGGAAAAGCTGCATTTTTTTCCTCATGTTCTCATACTTCAAATCATCCCTCCTCCTGAAGTTTGTGGGGATGTAAAACCAGCCATGCTACCACTATGATACTAACTATGAAACAATAAAATGCTTCAGTCAGAAAAGTCTTTGCAGTCTAAAAAACATGACATCTAGTAAGGCAGATTTTTTTTTTTAATTACTGCTCAAATTCAACAAAAAAAATATTTAAGTATATCGGTAAACTTAAATTTAGGCGCGTTTGGGTACCTGCTGTTAATTTGGGGGTTCTAGCTACTTATTTCATAATCCTTCAACCAGTTTAATTCTTTATAATTTACTCACTAACTGGACTTTGAGGTTTGTATTTGGCGAATAATCAAAACATTATAGTTAAACAAAAAAAAAGAAAACCAAAAACTATTTGTTCATAAGACAAAGGCACCAGATATGGTTGAATTATTTTTATGTTTTCTAAAACATAAGATCCCAGGAGAGGATTTTATTTTTTTAATTTCTACATTGAGTTTGAATAAATACATAACATTTCAGCTTTAGGTTTGAAGGTCTAAACTCCACACAGATAATCAGTGTTGCTAAGCTAATTTTTATACTTTCATATATCTCAGACATTTTGTTTAGCTTATTGCTCATTCAATAAGCTAAATGATTGTTCTAGAGACAATGCAGCAGAAACTACATTTACTTTTCATTATTTTAAGCACTCTAACAATCACCCAGATTGTAAATACTTCCAGCAGGAACTATCAGCAGGTTGCTCATTCTTTTACTTCACGCCAGTAAGAATGACAACTACTGCCATCTGACTCAATCAGCTGTCAGCCTAATTAAGTTAAAGTTGGCGTCTCACCAGATAAATGTTTCCAGCTGACTCATTTCGAAGAAGGGATCCTTTGAAAGTTTGCCTTGATTGCATCCAGCCCCTTGTGAAAGTAGGGTTCACACTGCTTTGGCATGTCGAGGCTTTCAAAGCCTGGCCAAGCTGCTTGGCCTCAACAGAGACTCAGCGTCTACTTTTTGTTTGAAACAAATCTCATATCCTGCAGTTTGGATAATCTCCTGAGTTCACGGTGAATCTGGAGGAAAGGCTGTAAATATTTGTAGAGAATGACTATATATATATATATATATATATATATATATATATATATATATATATATATATATATATATATATATATATTAAACCCCTTAAAGTCTGTTGAATTTTGAGTACAAACTCAAACCGGAACTGATTGTAATGACATTGACCAAGACAAAGACATGCATAATTGTGAAGTGGAAGTGAGATGTTTAAACATTTGTGACAAATAAAACTCTACCAAGTGTGCAATCAGCTTGGCTGAGTGAGTCGATACTTTGTGCAGCTTATTGCAATTAAAATCCAGAGGTTGAAGTTTTGTTGCCTTTTCTTCTTTGCCAAATAATTAAAACTCAGTCAGTCATTAGTTTTCAAGTCTTGTCACAGATTCACATTTAAATGTTGCTATGAATGGTGACCAGGATATTCTGACACAGCTGCTTTTTAATCTGCAGCCAGATTCATACTGTGCCATCCGAGGCCGTTAAAACCAAAACCTTTTGTCGTAAAAATAAAAACTCTGGTTGTGAGCAGGATTGGGTGGTCTGCGGTTGTTCAGTGTGAAAGCAGCTAATTTAGTTCTTCTCAGACAAATAAGACCTGACAAATGGGTCTGATGGTGGAGATGGTGGTAGGTATTCATCACGCAATAGGCGGGTTGTTGGTTCAATTGTCGCCCCACCCGCCTCTGTCGTTGTGTCCCTGAGCAAGACGCTTCACCCATCTTGCCTGCTGGTGGGGGTCAGAGGGTATCGCATGGCAGCATTGTTTCCGTCAGGCTTCCCACCATCAGTGTGCGTGTGTGAATGGGTGAACTGGTCTGTAGCTTTGGGCTCCTCTGGACTTGATAAGGCCCTAATGCAAGCACAAAGCCATTTACTTAAAATCAATCGGTATCTGCTTCTAGAAGAATCTGTTTACTTACTGTTGTGATGTGAAGACTTTTGCATTGCTTCCTGTCTCTTTTCAGCATCTGACTCTAATATTAAGACTTGCTGCTCATTTATTGATTTATATATGATTTATTGCTTGATATATCTTTTGGATCTGTCTGATGAAAATCCGCTGCAGTGACAAGTCCTGCAGTCTGACATCTTCCATTGTACAAGATGCTAACATGACTACAGTCACTTCAGTGTCATGTTCACGTAGCGCGACACATTCAAAACAAAACAATTTCAACTATTGTGAGTGTTGATTCAACTCTATCACAAATAACACTTTCAAAAGTGTAACTTCTACACCATCCAGAGTGGACCCATATAGACACTTTCAAAGTGTTGAATTTAACTCTGTAGGAGTTGATGGAACACTTCCAAATTTGCTGTGTGGGAAGGTTGTGTCAAATGAGCTCTTATTTAACCTCTGCAGGCTTTGCGTCCAGAATGATCTTGTTTTCTCATTTCTTGTCCACAGCTTTCAGATTAATAACAGAATAACATGACAACTAATTTCTCTCTGTGTTTTGTGTTAAAGATTAACTTAAATGAGTTTTCAGTGCATTTGGGAGAACAGAGAGAGCAGTCAGCACAAGCAGCATGTTTAAAAGCTGAGTGTGTGTTCAGCCAGGATGCTGGAGGTCTTCATCTTCCTTATAAATAGGCCTGTAAAAATGAAGCTAACAACTTCCTCTGTCATCCAGCCAAAACCACAACGTCTTACAATATTGCAGCAGATTTACCCCCCAGTTCTCCTAACAACAAACAGATTCCTCACACAGCCAGGATGCCAACTCATCACCAATCTTTCATTCAGAACTGAAAAGAAAATACTTTTCATTTATCCAAACAAGAAAGTTTTAGCCAAGAGCAATCGATAAGGTCAAATGCAGGTGATAAAACAGCTTAATGACCCAAAATCCCAAACTGAATCACACTGAAGAAGAAAGAGCTTTGGTAATACTTTACTCCTTTTTTCCAAGACTCGCCTATATCAGCAAGGGTGTGTCTGAACAGGCAGTCATGACATGACACACACCAGAGACAGAAAACTAAAGTTATTTATTGCCAACAGAAACAAGTTTCACTGTCTTCGTTCAGCTAAAGGACAGGAAAATTACTAACAACAGCCGTCCTGTTGCACCTCGTGACAAGTTCACTGAAGGAATATCCCATCATATTTAATAGGCAGCAAAGTCCACTGTGAGAGGACAGACATACAAACAGAATAACATGAAACTTCATGTGTTTTTACTTCTTTTTGTTTTCAACACAAACTGCTCTGATTTTGCACATCTCTGCTTCAGTGAGGCAAAGAAATCCTCCCTGTTTGTGGCATTTCCAAGTATATTTTACCTACAATCATATTCAGGAAATTAGAATATTATTGAAAGGTTCATCCACTTCGTGAACTGAGTGCACCAAACTAAATGCAACATATATGTTAATTACACTCAGACTCATTGTTTTTATTTATTTATGATCATTTTCTGCTTAAGTCTCATGAAAACAAGATTATCATTAGAATCAGATCAATAATGAAAAGAAATATATATATATAAAGTATTCAAGACTTGCTTAAATGTATTTTTTTCAAAAGGTACTATTAATCTGATAAATAAACCTCATCAGAAAGCATTTTTAATTGATTGAATTACTGCAAATACTTGTAAACTAGATGCAGCAAAAGACTCATTTAGTACTATGCTGATTATTTTTAAGATTATAATAATCCTATTTAAGCATAATCGGATTCAGGTTACAAAATATTGAAATTACGTTTGACAGCGATCCTTCCAAACACAAGAACATCATTTAAAGTCTTGTTTTTGTTTTGTTTACTTACGCATCTTTGCTGTTTCTCCAGTGAAACAGTGACTGCTCTGAAACCTGCTTACCTTCATCCAGAGGAGAAATGCATCCCCTGTCTGGACGCGGCACAGACCCAACATCACTGAGGTGAACTGGAACTTTTACAGAGAGCCACAACTCATGACCCGACATCACAAATGCTCTCTTGTCTGAATTAAAGCCAATCCCAGTTACATAATGTTTACTTTTAGTAATATATTGGTGGGATACATCTAACAGGCAGCCACACAGTCCTTACTTCTTATACAGACATGTATAAGAAAAGATGACCTGTTCAAATCACTTTGCAGACTCATTTATTTATTTATTTTTTACTTTAAAACAATCTGTTTTCTGCTTTGTGTGTAAGAGCTGTCCACCCCCAAGTATGTCTGCCACAATCACCCCTGACTCACGCACATGCAGCAGTTCCTCTCTCTGCACGAGGCATTTAGCTGATGAGGTCACTCCTTCCTGAGCCTGAGGACAAACACACGGTTTGTTGTGGAGAAGCATCACAGGTGACCCACCTCACCCTGGACGGTCACTTTTCTCCACCTTTCCTCCAGGCAGACCGAGAGCCGCATGACTCAAAGAGAGAGTTTCTTCCCTCCGGACGTCTCAGTTCAGATACACTTTGAACTTTACATTTTTAGATTCAGATTCAAAATGCATGTTTCCGGGTAACGATGACCCATTTATGCAACTGACTGACTAATTTTGTGTAAATAAATACATTGATTATTAACGGTATTCAATGGATTTCGTCTGGAAACACAGGAAAAAAAAAAAAGTAAAAAATTGTGGCCATGACTTAACATCTAGTTGTGGGCATGACTTGTTTAATTAGAGTCCACGACTTAATATTTCATTTGAACAAGTTGCGTATTTTGTGGGAACGACTTAATTATAACGAGTAATAATGGCCATGAGTAATTAAGTCATGGGCGCAAATTATGCAAGTTATCCACAAATTGTTTTTGTTTTTTTCTTTTCACCAGAAGGGCTTCACAGTCTTCTGGTGAAAAGAAGACTGCGAAGCAGTCAAACAATTGTTTGACTAACATTGTTTGTTAGTCAAACAATGTGAAATTATTTGACTAATTTCACATTGTTGCTATACTGAGTTGTTTATATTTTCTGGCATTTTTTAAAAATTCAAAATAGTAATGTTATTTATTTTTTTATTGTTAAATAAATCTCCTATTCTGTGCAGAGCCCACTGCCTTCTCGGTTATGACCTTTCACCTACTTTGCTTTTTTCTCTCTTTTCTTCTCTTTTACTCAAAATGTCCCTGCTGGACTTTAAATCTGATCAAAATAACTTGTTGTGGCCACAGAGGGTTTCATCTCCAAAATATCAAGAATACCAAAACTCTCTAATAGGGTCGTGCAACCAACTTATTATTGCTCTTCCTGTTTATACGAAAGCTGTTGACAGATCTTAAAGAATCAGATATTTACCTTATTTTGCAAATTTAGAAATTCAAAAAGCTTAAAAAAATCCATTATTTTGTCATATTTTTGAGTATTAATAATGATGTTGAAGCTTTAATATGAACCTGAATGCATTACTTTTCAAAATAATAGTTTCAGTAAAAGTAAGAACCACTAATTATTTAACGTTTTTAGGATTTTGCTTCCTCAGCAGTCAGTCACATGCAGCTTCTCCTGCATAGTAAGATGTCTCTTATCTTCTACGCATCATTGAAGATTAATCCTAATCCCCATCGTATAGCAAACATATTATTTTTAGACCCCATGATTTGCCACTATATGTTGGAGAAAACTATTCTTTAGTTCCTTTACACAACATATGACCTTATATTGAACCAAACTAACTTCCTGCTGGTACATAACTTTTGGAGTGCCTCCACATCTAAAAAACATCCTTTTATAGTTTGCCTACAGTATTACAGAAATGTACTTTTACTGTTATTGTTTGTCGAAAAGATACAAAACTCTGCCTTGTACAAATGCTGATGCTCCAATGTAGACACCACCATTCACTCTTCAAACGTTGGGTATAAAAATCCAAAACGACCAGCACTCCACTATGTAAGACAGTGAACGTTACTGTACATATAGGCCAATTATTCTGAATATGAATGGGTTTTAGAAACAGAGCAATATAGAGGAGCAAAAATGCACAACTGATACCTGTTGTATAATGGTTAATTTATGATAAAATTGTGACTATTTGAGGAATCCTGACATGGCTCTGTGCATACATGTGCATGACTTGCCATCCTTTTTGTGGAAACAAAGAAGCTGTAAAAATGAGGTGATCTCAAGATCAAAGACCCTGAAAACACGATGGGTTTCTGTAAGGGCAAAAGTCAGACTTTTTTTTGTGCTTTTAGTGCTTTTTGAAAACTCACTTGTCAGGAAGTATTTTATTAAGTATCACAAAAACTAATTATAATAAAAAAGAGTGAGCTGGCAGCTTCCTTTTTTTTCAGCGTGAGAAAAAACTTGGATATTTCTGGGGACAGGCCAACAAAAACCAGGGACAGCCCCTGTTTTCTGGGACAAGTTGGGCAGAATTAGAACCTTTCAACATTTTTCATGAAATTTATCTAATGACTTTTCAATTAGTTCAAATGCACAAAGAGGATTTTGCTTTTATGAAACATTTTTGAGTCTGTAGAGGATGCAAAACATAGTTAGTTCTCCTGCTTTGTGCTTCTGTATGTGGTTGTGACGACACCGCAGGGAGCTTCACTGCTGAATGTTTGGACTGTAGTTTCCAGGGTAGAGTTTAGTTCAGAAGAGAGGAATGGCCAGAACGTTAATGATTCCACCAGATAGTTTCATTTTGCACAAGGAAAAAAACGTCTATATTTCCAGTATGTTTACAGAAAATAGCTCACATAGTCTAAGAATAGAACCCAAATATGTTATTTTCTATCCTTGTTTATTTAAAACATCCAGAAGGAATATGCTGGATGGACGTGGCAGGATGAGGTCATCTGTACACCAGACACTTTGGGATGTTGAGGCTCGTCCTGAGCAGAGCTTTTGGTTCAGATTCCTTCTTCTTCTGCAGTGTGAGCTGAAATCACAGAGCCACCAGGGAAGGCAGCTGGGCAGTGAGGGCTGGAGCATGCAGTGCTTCATCATAATTACCTAACTTTAGCTTTTTTTTCTGCAGTCTCTGCCATGTGTGTGTAAAAATGTCGCCTGTTGGTTAAGGGGCCAACAGCAAACTTGACTTGTACAGATTATTATGGTTAGCACTGCCAAAACATCTGCATAGTTTTAATGTTTATACAAGTATTCAAGTTTCCTTCCACAGTCCAAGAACACTCATGTCAGGTCACACTGCAAATGCAAACGTGACATTTAACGGAAAACAATACATTGATTCAAATCTGTTTTCATCAAATTGCTATCAACACTCCTTAGTAGTGATATACTTAGAATTGAATGGTTTTGTACAAGCTCTCGTCAAACTTTATAACATGCAGCGCTGGAAATTCAGTCAACTAACAGAGATGTATTGGAGCAGGGAAACATCTGAAATATACAGGAGACAAGAGTTTAAGGACCACTGTCTGGAAGCAAAACCACATTCCTGATTAAGTCATAATATGGAAGTTAATTAAACTACCCTGTTGGACGAGTCCGTTATTTGATTGGTTGAGATGTCACTGCAACATTCTGCTCTCCAGCTGAACTTGTTTTTGCTTTGGCAGGGAGGAAGGAGGTGTGTGTGGGGACGGAGGGAGTCCTGGCTGCTTTGCATTGGGCAGGACAGATGCAGCGCTGCACCTGCGTAAAAAAAAAAAAAAAAAAAAAACCAAGGAGAGCTTGTGTTTTAAAAACACAGCACAAACTAAAACAAACTGCAGGAAGATAATAACTGCTGTTTGGTCAATCGCGGGGTTTTTTCTGTGAACTTTTCTCCGTCCTTCATGACTTCATGACACCTAGCAGACTGTTTGCTGGCCATTAATGGAACAAACTGGTTAATGGCTAATGCTCGTCCTTCCTGGGCGGCTGTCTGCGTGTCTCCTGTCTCTGGTAATAGCGGCTCCAGACACAGGGCAACGCTGACCAGTAAGACATGGTGTCACCTGGAAAATATGGTAGTAAACCTGATATTAGAACATGGCACACCCAGAAACACACATGCAGCAGTTATTTTTTGGTACAGAGTTTTTATTCACGTCTCTTAAGGCGTCTAAAAATATCAGAATTAAAAGCTGAAAACATTTTGTATATATGTATAGTTTTCTGCTCTACCAACATTATTTCTATTTGCCAAATGCCAGAATGACAAGCGAAAGAAACAGTTTATTGCTATGTTTAAAGTCGGACGTTTACGCAGCTTTAAACAATCTGGGAAAGCCCAGACGATAAGGTCAGGACTTTGTGACCTTCTGATAGGTTGACTCACAATGTCTAAGTTAAACGGAGGCAAACCTGTTATTGAATTTTAATCCAAAACCTCAAAAACACTCCTTCCTGTTGTGACATTATGGGAAAATTGGAAGGATTTAACTAATAGGAATTGAACCTTTGAAACTCCATAAGTCTGAGTCATCCTTGGGAACAATCTCCAGATTCTTGGAGGCTCCTGGTTCATCTGTTCAATTATTTACACAGGCATACAAAGCATAGCACCATATAAAAACTAGATGGGTTTTATGTGTTAGAGATAAACAGGTTTTGGTCCAAAATGTGCATCGGTTGCAGCGCAAAAGCAAAATACCTTGCTCTCTATCATGGTAAAAAAAATTGTCTTCATTGACAAAAAGGCCAATCACAGTGAGGAAGAAGCCATTACCTGAAAAAATATATATTTATATGCAGAAAAACGCCAGATTTCCTGCAGGTATTTCCTGAAGTTAAATTTGTTTGGCCACAATTATCAGAATTACTTTCCAGCAGGAAATGGGGATGCTCCATCCCAGCTGTGATGTTCGGTGGTGGCAGCATTATGTTGTGTGGTTGGATTTCATTGGAAAGAAAAAAATAGAAGCAACATCTTAAAACAACAGTCATAAAGTTAAAGGGACTTTAAATAGACATTTACTCTAAGCACATAACCAAATTAGTTACAAAGTGGAATAAGCACAAAAAGGGCAAATCAAAACGTTCTACTGTAGATCTCATAGAACATTTCTATTATTATTTTGGCATTTAGCAAATATAGATATTTTTGATCATTCTGATTCATCTAAAAAAGAAAAGCTTGGTCTTTTTCATTGTCAGACAGTGAAAAAGGTTACGTGTATTTTTATGTAGTGGAACTAAATATTTGTTAGATGTTTATAAATGGCTTAGTTTGTCATTTGGACAAATCTGTTATGACTTTTCCTGTAATTATGTGCCATGAGAAAAGCAGCACAGGGACTTTTATAATATTTATTATTCTTATTTGGATTGAACCCAAATGACTACAAATGATTTCATGCTGCCAGACTCAATGCCTTTTATGAGCCATTTGTGCTCATAAAAGCTTTTGTGAGCACAAATGTCACCGGAAGCTGCTCACTTCAGGTGACATATTAAACTTTGAAATAAATATGTGTTATAATCCAATAACATTGTCAAATCCTCTTTTGCCTTTTTGACCTGTTTTGCAAGGGGAAAAAAATGGTGCCGCTTGTAATGTTTAATCTCTATTTGACCATTTTTTTCCTCCTTAACCTGAGTTTGTCTGACTTCACATGTCCTCCTCCTCTGCTGGACACGTCTCTGGATCGGCGCCACGTCCCCTCAGTTTGGGTCGTTTCTGGCTTCTTCCCAGTAATTCTCAATTACTGGGCTTGGCAACTCCTGTCTGCTTCGCCTTCATAATGAAAAGCACGCTGTCTTTAGTTTTACTGCCGCTGGCTCACACCCAAAATACTGTATTTGAACTTTTCTTTGACATTGTTTCACCTCTTCCCAACTTCTGTTGCAACATAAAACCTGTTCAAAATTATACGTCTTCTATTATTGAAGCAGAATCCTTCAAAGAAATATTGAAATGCTTATGTTCTGCAGGAATACTTTGGATGGACATTTACATATCTGTGGAATTGAAGCTGGTCCCATTTATGTAATGTCTGAGCAGCGGTAATGTGACAGCAGCAGCTCTGACTTCAATCTATGAGGAAAACAGCCTTTAAAGGGAAGGAAACTAAGTGATTTGTTACATGGAGCAAACTGTGCCTGACCCGTACAGACAGTGTTCTACCAAAGGAATAAAAAGAAAGATTAAAACATTACGAGACACAGTTTCATAAAAGTTATCTGTCCAGCGACTTCATCTGCAGGGGATAAATAATGGCTCTCAGTTTGAGTTTGTTATTTAAAACTGGCCATTATTAGCATGGAGCAATTCAAGCTGAAGTGGCGCTTGGAAACCAAGCGCCACTTCTGCTGTGAGAAAAATGTAACCTTCTTTAAAAGAGCAGGAGATCTTAGGCTGAGAGAGGGAAACCACTTAAACCGTGTGAATGTGTCGGATAAGATGGAGCTGACGAGAATAAGCAACCCAACAATGACATGTTTTCCAGTTAGCTACTGCATGCATGAAGCTTTTACCCATGGTGTCCAAATTAAACCATTAAATAAAAATAATTCCCACAAAAAGGATAACAAGAAACATGACTTCTTTATTAGTACTTTTACTTTCTCAACTTTAAACTAAAGACACATGCATTAATTAAATGAACAAAGTACTCTAAGATAACTACTAGGATCAAGGTAGACCTACAAATAAACTTAGTTATTTGCCTTTTTAAGACAAAGGCGAATTTTCAGATTTTGGAGGTGGTCAAATGTTTGCCATTTTCTTGAATTTAAAAAATAATTATTTTCTATGTTTTCCTTGAAAACAGCAAGTTCAAAAAAATGGTTTTGCTCTGTGGTACCTCGCATTTTCCATTTGCAGAACATTTTTCATTTGTTTGAATATTGTTTAAATGCTTCATACCAGTGAAAAAAACTTTGAGAGGCTGCAGGTGGAAGAGCAAAATTAACTTCAGCTTAATTCAGCATTTTTGTAGAGTGCCAATTCACAACAAACGTCGCCTCAAGGTATGTAATCGTACATAGATTCCAGTTATCTAGTTATCAGTTAATTATTCAGAGTAGATTGAACATCTTCTATCTAAGCTTTTTTTGCCATCTGTCAACAGTAAACTTGTTAAATACAGTTTTACATTGAACATACAGCCTTGTTGCCTCTTTGACATTCTTGCTCGATTAATCATCCAAACTTTGGACAGGTTAAAATCCTCCCTCTCCATTAACATGAATTCATTATTCCATTTAAGACTTTGGTGCCTTTTCTGCAGATCATTTTTGTCATATTCATCCTTAGGCTTAATATTAAGTCAAATATTCATCTCGAGACAATTCATTCATCTCTCTGCTGGGCTCGATGTGTGACTGCCGTGTTGTTGAAACATGGCAGTCACATGAGTCAGTAAATTCAGAAGAGAAAGCTTGCCAATGCTATTATCCAGTAACACAACACAGATGTCCGACCCTGCAGTAGCGGATCTCGTGTAGAAATGGGATTGGAATAATAACGTTGTAATCAGCAGTTTTCCTAAAACATTAATGTTGAGATACATTTTGCCTTTGTCCTCTTTTAAACTTTTATTTTTCCTGAAACGACTTGGTTTGTTTCTGCACAGTGAAGACAATGTGAATCACAAGTCGCCTTGTCTGATTTCAAGCTTTAATGTGAAGAACAGACACGATTAGCTGGACATCAACAAGCTGAGGTTTAGTCGTGTTTTTCTCTGGAGCACCTGTTCGGGTCGGAGGGGGTACACGATGTACTAACTAATTCTCCGAGTCAGATGAAAATTCTCTGAAGCACTCGGAGGCAGTGAACCCAGTCAGGGGGGAGCTGGTGCTGTGCCATTTTGTTTCCATCCAGCCGTAGGATCTTCATCCTGGAGTAGGACAGAGGCCCCACGTCTCTGCAGAAGCTGCTCACGTTGAACTCTGTCGAAAACAGATGGCATTATTCAGATGGTTACTTTATGTTTTGAAACTTGTTATCTCCCCACCCCCCAGTGTGACAGTCGGTGATCTGTCAGAACATTGTTTATATTTGACAGAGAGCATCAGTTTCACACTGTAGCGTTTCTTTTGCATGCGTGTCCTCCTACGTTCGACTAGCTCAGACATATTATGCAATTTTGTCTATCAAAAACAGCCAGCTGCAGTCTGGTCCTCTGCTCACAGAGTCTGCATTTACCATTAGAGGGCTCAGGTGCAGAGGTGAAAAAAGAAACAGTGGAAACTACTCAACCCATTTCCTTTTTTAACCCACTGCAGAGCTTCTTCCTCTGAGACAGTGAGGTGTTTTTATGCTGAAGTATTTCTGTTGACTGTCTGTCTCATTAGGATAAAGCTCCTTTGTTCGTTGCTAAAGCAGATTATAAAACCAGAGCACATTTTTATTTTTGCCAGAACTCACTAACAGACTATGCAGCTCCTGCTATTGTAGAGCCTTGCACAAATATCCTTACTTTTTAAACTTTGTCACATTAAAACCACAAACTTCAATGTATTCTATTGATTTTTTCTGCAACATTTTAATTGCACCTTTTTCTGCAAATACAGCTCTGAAAAGTGTGTTGTACGTATGTTTTGAGCCCTTCCAGTAAATACTTTGCAGCATCACCTCTGGCTGTCATACGATGTAACAAAGGGACCCAAACTCAGGAAGTGTGCAAAATCCTAAGACAAATAGGAACATGGAGGAGGCCCTGCTACCAAGCAGGTCCAATCTGTCCAAACTTTCTTAGAGATAAACACTAACCAACCTTACAACTAAACTGGTCAATATGAATGCACAAATTACAAAAGCAAAGATTTTATCTAACATCATGTCTTTAATAATCCTGTACTGATTGGCACAGGTGAAGATTCAGTCTTGTTCATTATGTGCCGTTCGGGTGTTTTATAAAATGTTATCTTGTTGGTTGGTAATGTTAAACAGTTTTGAGCTAAAAGTGCATGATGTGCTCTTGTCTTATGCTTATATTTTCAAATATGCATTAAAAAAACCCATGATATGTTTGTTACTTATTTTACCCACTGTCTCGTTCCATCATCAAATCTGTCCAGCTTCTCTTTCTCTGCTCTTGAAAAAGCAAAGCGTTCTCACAGCATAATGCTGCCAACACCACATGGATTTTGTTTTCAGGGCATCGTGGGTTTAAATTACTCACAGATGGATTCTGCTTACAAATTAGGTCACTTCTGAAGAAACCAGATTTTATTTGGAGGTTTCAGAGTAAAGAGGGATGAAAAAAAATTAAGAGACCACTTAAAATGATCAGTTTCTCTGATTTTACTCTTTATATGTATATGTTTGAGTAAAATGAACACTGTTCTTTCATGTCTCTGAAATTCCAAGCAAAAAATTTTGTATGTATTGGCAGAAAATGAGAAATGTTCAAAATAACAAAAAAGATGCAGCTCTTTCAGACCTCAAATAATGCAAAGAAAACAAGTTCATATTCATTTAGAAACAACAAAACTAATGTTTGTTCAGAAATCAGTATTTGGCGGAATACCATGTTCCTGTCCTTCTTTATAATTACGCACTTGTGATGTCTACATAAAAGCCTAATAAACAGGACCGTGTGAAAAAGTTCAAAGAGCAGAAATACTTTTGAAATGCGCTGCAGGACGTCTTGTCAGGCACATATTGGCTCCTGCACCATCAAACCAGCTAAAGCAACAGGGAGCAGACAGACAACACAGAGCAACACAGATTGGGGAGGGGAGCAGCTTCATCTTCTGCTCCATCTGGCGCTCCTATACCTCTGAATCTCTCCCAGATGTTCTCATACCCCTCTCCCTGCTTTTAACCTACTTTCCTCACATCCAACCAGTTAATATTCAGTCACCTTTCTCCCCTTCTCCACCCTCTTCTTACATCTTTGTCTCAGCTTCTTGCCATGCAGCCCCAACTCCTCCCACATTCATATGTAGCAACTTGTCTACAACAACCTGAAGCTACAAACAATCTCTTGCTACATTTTCTCCCTCTTTGAATCAAAGCCTCTGCATTCTTGATGCATGTGTGTATCAATGAGTCAGCTCATTACCTTGAATGCTATTGGCCTCCAGGTAGAGGTACTGCAGGGTCGTTGGAACCGTGGGGGTGGTGGTCAGCTCGTTGTAAGAGAGGTCCACCTCCACCAGGCTGGAGTGGTTAAAGGCCTGCGGGTGGACGCTGCTGCTCTGCAGGCCGCAGTGGCTGAGGCGCAGGTGCTTCAGGTTGAGAAAACCTTCAAAACTGCCCTTGTCCAGCCCAGAGAAGTTGTTGTAGGACAAATAAAGCTGCTGGACAGAGGGAGGTAAATGGCTGGGGACGGCTGAGAAATAATTTCCACTGATGTCCAACAGATTCAGCCTGACGAGACCTGAAAGACAGGAAAACATCTTCACACACATGCAGGAGTTAATCCAGACAAAATGTGTTTTGTCACCCTGAAGGGAGATGAGAATTAAAAACAAATGGACTTAATTTATTTTATTCTTTTTTTTGCACTTACTGCAGATTTTTAATTTGCACTTATAAAACATGCAATAAACACCCAAACAAATATACAAACACTGCAGAAGACATGAATGGAATAGTTCAGTATTTTTGTGTGTTGTTTCAGTTAAAAGGTTATGAGTGTATTTAATTTCTTATTTATGATGTAGTAAGAAATACAGTTAACATCTTCACAGGGTAAAAATCCAGATTATGATTATAATAAAGAGTAAAAAATATTATCTTTCACTGAATGACTAGATAATGCTTCAAAGTAATTTTACTGATTTATATTTGTAATGTGCAGAAAGAGACTATTAGAATCTACTGACCATTATAATTTCCATAATGTATTAGAAATGTTTCTTTTGTTTGTCATCTCTGGATCTTCTCAGTCCAATTTCTGTCAGATTAGCCCATCTGTTTATGCACCTACCAACAGTTGCAACAACAAAAAATTAATTAGGAGCTTTACCGACCAAAGTTTTTTGATGTTTGATTAACATTTCAATGAAAAAAAAAAAAAAAAAAAAACAATTATATGAATTCTGAAACCCTAATAGTTTCTTCAAAAGTTGTGACTTTGTTTAATAAAAGCTTGAATCTAAATTTGCTTTTTGAGTGCATTTTGGATATTAAACTCCCAGATGGGACTGGTCTACTTCCCTTTCCAGATGTCAGAGGTTGAGTCCAAATGTACAAAGAGCAGAACTAACAAATGACCCCACCTTTGAGGTCGCCCTCTGTGATGGTCTGCAGCCTGTTTCCCTGCAGCAACAGAACCGTCAGCTTCTGCAGGTTCTGGAAAGCTCCTGGGCTGATGCTGCTGATTCGGTTGTAGGCCAGCCGCAGCTGTTCGAGTCCGGCCGGTAAGCCGCCAGGCACCGATTTCAGGTTGTTGCGGTTCGCAAAAAAGTAGCGCAGCTGAGTCTGGTTCTGCAGAGAGGCCAGCTCCAGTTCGTTGCTCTCCAGCTGGTTGTTGTCGATGATTAGCCAGCGTAGCCCCGTGATATTAGCCAGGACGGGGTAGGACAGGGATGAGATCTTGTTGCCCTGGGAACAAAAGAAAATGCATCCCTAAAGATGCTGAATTATTTTTTCTAATGCAGTATAAGAAGTGAAAATGAACAGGGCTCCACAGTGACTCCAGTGGTGAGCCATTCAGTTTAAAGGTAAGAGGTTTAGATCTTTTTATATTGAGCTACTTTGGCTTCTCTGCATAGTTTAAAACATGAACATCACCCAAACAGGACTCACCTATAAAAATTTGCTAAAACAGATAAAGGTATTTATTCAGAAACATAAACAGTTTGTATGTAACTAATGCCAATTGATGCATTTTGAAATACTAGGGATTGTATTGGAAGAAATTTGCCACTGTCTAATGATTGGAGTTGTGACGCAATATGCTTCGTTACGGTACTCTAATTGTGTATATTAAACACCTAAATTTAAATCTGCTGTAAGTGCAATATTAAAACAATCTTTGAATCTTGAATCTGCATGAAGAATATTATTTTTATACATTTTCTGGCAGTAAGGTGGTTTAGCAGGTAAAGAAGAATAGTGAATGGAAAACGTCATGGAAAAAATAACATTTCCGCGTTTCTTTTTTATTCTTACCTGTAAAAACAAGTACTGGGTTCCTTGCGGCAAGTCCTGGGGGAGGCTTTCAAGGCCTCTGCTGTCACAGTAGAGCGACGTCGGCCAGTGGATGGGACAGTCACACTGCTCAGGACAGGCCTGGTCATTGTTAGCTCGAAACCAGGCCGGGTCAATCCTTCCCTGCAGACTTAAAACGCTGGGCTCGCCCAGCAGGCGGTTAATCCACAGAGGAATGCCACCATAGTCCATATCGGTGACTAATGTGGCCCATGCAGAGTCAAAGCCACAGAGCAGCACCAACACGCCACAGAACAGGGCAGCCATGGAGCCAGAGGACGAGACTGGCAACTCTGGCAAGGAATCAAACAAGGAAATAATCATTGATTAATGTTTTTGTATCTGTGCCTAATGGGAAAAGTCAAGAAAAGTAGGTCGTTTAACAGTTTATTGGCCAAGTCAGTAAATAATTTCAAACCATTCCTGGAGGCGGGTTATTTCTCATGCTACCAGCGTGGAGAGCAAAAAAACAGGAAAGCTGATCAGAGTCTATGAGTTCAGGATAAAAGAGCAATCATGGAGGTAAAACTATTAAGAGGCTGCAGGAGCTTTAAGACTGAGGAAGAAGAAATGTGTGTTCCATCAGAACAGCAATTTAAACATAAATTGGCAAAACCTGAAAATAGATCATCAAAGCTGCTCTCTAATCTGGGACGTCAGATAATTGATTCTATGTTTCTTGCCTTGCCAGGGGAATATTGTGTGTGCAGTATTATGTAAAATCTATCTTATCTAGCTTTATATCATGTTACTCCCTCATCAAAGACATCCCTGGAGTGTTGCACCAACATGCATGTTTGAGAAATCATTTGATCTCCTTGGCAACCATTTAGTTGTGCAAAATACCATGGGTGGACCTAGCTCTGCCTTCGAGACACAGCTCCCCCTTGGAGGGTCGATTTTCACGTCACAGACTCACCCCTCCCACAGGACAGGTCACTCAGCTCCTTCAGACTAGCCAGCAAAAATTAGCAAACACCTGAAGGAACAGCGCATCTGCTAGGCTCATTGTACAAGCTACTTCTCAGTTAAACGCAGGTAAAAACGCACTCAAGAGGTTAACAGAGGAGAGACGATGTGATGCAAATCTGAAACTGGAGTGTTGGAAAGAGGGGGAGTTTCTGAAAAAGAGGCCCAATTTCAAGGTGCTAAATTACGAAGATAAATTTCTTTTAAGTCATATTTGATAAATACCGAATTTTCATAACAACTGAAGTTAACAGTTACTTTATTGTGCTACAAAGTGATACTATGTAGCTGGAAAACACATGATGCTGCTCAAATTAAATTATATTGTTATGTACATCTAGAATTTTATTACACGAAAGTACACATTTTCACATAGAAAGTCCCATTCTGCAGCCGAGGTTCAACAATTATTATTAATCTGAAACACTAAAAACGAAAAAAAAAGACTGAGACATTGGTTTGAGTTGCAGTAGCGGATGGCTTCTTAAACATGCATCATCTATTAGAGGAAATAGTGTAATAATTTCCTGATTGCATAGAAGGTTACAGTAACATGCGCACGACAGTTCACACACAAAAAGGTTTTAGGCAGAGGTAATTTGCAGGAAAGGTCTGAACAATCAGGAACTAGAACTCGATTAAAACGATTGCACTTTGTTGCGTTGCAGTGCAACGACAACTCAGAACACTGTCAAGAGTTTACAGTAATGAAACAAGCATGCATTGTAGTGGTGATCATTTCCAGCTTAACCAACCACACAAAGAGGAAACGGCAGCACAAGAGAAACAAAGAGCAAAGTGACACTTACCTGTTTGATCAGAAGCTACACACAGCAGAGACAGGGCTATCCCTCGTTCTCACTGAAGCCCTTGGGAGACATATGTGTGTGTGTGTGTGTGGGTATGTTTTTAAGCTACCAGTAGTGTTTGCCCACTGTCTGATGCAGTCCTCCTTTCCAAACACTTCCCACATCCCAGACACCAGACCTCCTCCATAATCTTTTCACAAAGTTGAGTCTTCCTTTCCCCCTGCAGCAATTGTTAAACTTATATTATTTTTATGGCAACATCTTGACTTGCTTTGAGGAGATGCACAGAAATACATAAAAAGCCTGATCAATTAAGGAAGTCACTGTTGTCTAGCTAGTGTGAGTTGTTTTAGATATTAAAACAGACATTTTAATAAGCACATATTTCAGTTTGCATGTCTGTGTGTGTGTGTGTGTGTGTGTGTGCGTGTGTGTGTGTGTGTGTGTGTGTGTGTGCGTGTGTGCGTGTGTGCGTGTGCGCGTGTGCGCGTGTGCGCGTGTGCGTGTGTGTGTGTGTGTGTGAATGGGGTGTGTAAAATGTGTTCTTGCCTGGAGGCACAGAAGCCACAGAGTACCTGGGGAGCCAAAGAGACCATTGTGTGTGTATGTGTGTTACCGCATGCTCTGGGCAAGTGTGTCTTAAAGGAAGAACCGAAGCTTCTTGCAAACATCTGTGCAAAAGTGAGCAAAACGGTTCCAGATTATTTTCACTCCATAAACCTGGGGAGCATTTTAATAGAAGATGTTGGAGGGGGAAAAAAACAGCGCCCTCTAGGAAAGCTGAGCAGACATTTCATGAACAATATTTGTCATTTGTGAAGCTTTTGTAGTTGATAACTAAAGCTATAACTAAAGAAGAATCTAGGCAATCAAACCATCAGCTGTACCTTCAAAAATATTTGGTTGAAGTTGGGAAAACCAAAACTTACAAGTTTTTACTTTAAAACAGAATTTCAGCAGATAGTAAATGTGTTAGGATGTCTCACATTTGACTCATCAGACATTTTAATTTAAGCATTTGGTGCCGGAGAAATTAAATATTTACACGCTGCAGTTTCAAGAACAGCCATCATAGATATTTTCCAAAAATACACTGAATAAAGAGACAGATACACATTTTGTTTCTTACTGCCAGGAGTTAACCACAAATTTCTCTTGTTTTAGATCAAGTTACCAAAATTGTTTCTATTTGACAAATGCCAGAAAACTTAACAAGAAAAGATTTTACAGATTTTTTATTATTATTATTTGGTGTATGACAACCTCTGGTTTAAACTGTATGTTTGAAGCTTCAGCATTAAAAGTCAAAATATTTCCAGGGTTTGGTTTTGGTTTGGCAGCAATGCTCTAGAATAACTGAATGTGTGACTACATTCTAGTCTGGGCTAGTGCAGGCCGGTTCAGACGCTGACTCACTCTGCAGAAATGGGACTTGCATCACCTTTGCACACACACTTCCCAGACAGCTTCTTAGTTGTGTGTGAATTTTTAGATTTGCATTTAGTAATTTAACTAATTCACTAATCTTCTTTGCCTGCTAAACCACCCTACTGCCGGAAAATGTCTACAATTATGCATGTACAAAATGTAGAAAAAGTGTCTCCCACTGTGAACATTAGTTTTGCAAATGAAGGTAGAGATGTGCATCGACTGAATTCAGTCAAACATTTTATTGTGAAAACAAAAAGTGGTTTTTGTTCAAATCTAGGCAAGAATGCAAAAGTAGCCCCCTTTTTTTTTGATGATGATGCAGGAAGTTTATAGGTGGTCACACACTGTTCAGGATAGTTTGTGTATCTTCTGGATCTTCTGCTTCCCAGCTTTATTCCAGAGAACAGGATAATACACATCTGGTGTAATTTCAACAAATAGTCCTGTTTTACAAATAAAATAGTCATTTAGTAGTTTTTATAGCTTTACTTAATCACTGATGTTCCTCCAAACATAATGAAGAAGTGTCTCCAGCAGAGCTACCTCTGTGTCTGATTAATTTCAAAGGGATTTCTTCCTTTGGATAGTTTGAATATACTGCTAACTGTATTTCCTTAGGCATGCTGGTGATAAACCAATAATAGCATCTTTTGAAAATAATGTTGTTAGGAACAATCCACATTAAATCTGGACCTGCAGTAAAATGTCTCTCTCCCACAGAAGGACATTTTTATGGATCTTAAAGAACTTTCTGTGATTGTTATGAATCTAACAGGATAAGTTGCATCAATTATAGGTGACGATGTTTGATCAGATGGTTTCTCACAAACACTTTTCAGCTTGCATCCATCAACTAGCCATGTGATTCCTTATCTTTTAATAATGAGTAACTAAGTATTTACTGGTCCTTTTCCAGCCATAGTAAAGTTCTTTCAGTAGTTGTGCATCAATCAGTGTTTTAGCTACTCAGGTAAGTTTTATGCTCCTATTTGATCTACTGAGACTTACAGAACAGCCAAGATGTTACTCAAGCTGAAAGGGATGCTGAAGATGTTTTATGTTTGCAGGGAATTTGCTGGTTCTCTTTGGTAATTTAAAGTTGCAACATTAACTATAAAGATGCACCACTGTTCAAAATCCCAATTCTTATGAAGTTTAAAACATAAATAAAAACACAGTACAATGATTTGCAAGTCCTTTTCAACCTTCGACTGAATCCACTACAAAGACAAGATATTTAATGTTCAAACGGATAAACATTATTTTTTTTACAAGTACTCACATTTTTGGATTTTGATGCCTGCAACACATAAAAATGACTGTACAGATTTACACATCAGATGGATAAAAGTTCTGTCACAGTTCAGGAAATTTGGAAAAACTTACTGCAGAGCTGAGTTAGCCGAGGTCATAGTTCAAAGTTTGGGTAATGTCACATTTGAAGGTTTAATAAAAGCCATAATGAAAACTTATGAGATGCTAAATTTTAAGTTATATCAATTTGTAGTCGTGCTTTTTTTAAAAGACCAAGAAAACTTCAGCTGTAAATTGTCAGAAAAGTCGGCACAGCTTGAAATTATACATAGACCTGATACTTAGAGAAAATTTGAACCAAACACTGTTTAAACTCAAAAATAAGACTGAAAAGATGAAGTGTCCTGATTTTTTATTTTATTTATCATATTAATATTTTGATTTCTGCTAACTTTTCACGTTTTAGCGACAGATGAGCTGTAAAGTGAGAATGTCACTATCAAAATTTATTGCATTTTAAAAAGGTAGTAAAATATGACTTTTCACAACTCACTTCAATCTCCTTTAATGAATTACGTAATATCTGTTTGAGAAAGCATAAGGAGATAAACAATTTCTGCATTGCAACATGAAAGAACAATAGTGTGAATGGGAAGTAATGTCATTCTCTTCCAGTTATTCTATCTTAGGTTTATAAATAATCTATCAAAGAAGAATACACAGTCTTCTGCTCATGCAGGTTTGGAACCTGTTTGCTGAGCAGATCTGTCATCAGCCCGTTGGTAATGTTAGGAACACACAACATGCAGGTTTCTCGGGAGGTTTGAATCACTCTGACTTTGTAGTTTTTCTTCACGGTGAGCTCTGCTGCTCTGTGGAGATTTTGACACATGTCGCTAGTGGGGCAGGTCACTTTTGGCACGCCACCGGAATATCTGACAATCAGACCTAACAGGTTTGAAGCATATAGGAAATGCCAGCTTCCACAAAGCAGATTTTCAAAATTTTGATTAAAACTGACGTCATTGTGCAACACGGTAAAAATATCGAATTAATTAAAACATGAATCCACCACTGAGATGTGGATGACAGAACCTAAGTGAGTTCTCCAAATATCTTAGTTTTCTTTGCTATCAGGTTACATGTTATTACATGCAGCAGATGGCATCTACACCTCCATCTAGTGCATAGTTTGCTACAAAGGAGCAGAAAGTGCAGCTGGATGTAGGGGAATAAATCTGAAAAGATTATTATAGAGAGAGTATAAAATAATTCAGTGCAATTGTTTTTTTTTTATTTTTATTTTGTCAATTTGAAGCAGTTTTACAAAAAAATAAAAAAGAGTACCTGCATATTTTCACATTTTTACTCATTTAACATCTAAATTTTATTGAGGTGATCTTCGCTTAAGATGATTTTTGTTATTCAATAGGACATATCTTGTAAAGTATTGCCTTAAAATCCTAAAACTTTATTAACATCAGAACGAAGCCACAGTAAAACAATATAAAAGACGAGATATTATTGAATGTAAATAAGTTCACTTATTGTTTTATTGTTGTTCTTCAGAGGAAGAAGAATATTCAGAATTAATTAAGTACTTTCAGGAAAAAAGGACGTTTTATTAAAAAGCTTCTAACAAAAAAACACCAGAGTGCAAAGATCAGCGTGTGCTCTTTGAAAAGCGTTCAGGCTACCAAACGACCTGCTGCTTCTTACCTATTGATTACATCTACAGATATGCATGTTAACATGCATCTTGTTACAATGTGCTAAACCAGTGTGAACTGTCCTCATGTTACATCTGACAAAAACCTGCAACTCAGCAGTTCCTGTCGCCGACACCAGAGGGCAGTGTCTGTGTGTAAAATTGCGATCACAAAGAACTGCTTGGGAGCAACATTTTGTAGGATTCAGCACTTTAAACACTATGTGTTTACTATTTGCCTATTAGGAGAATATATGTTAGAGTTAATATTAGACTAACTCTGACTAAATGATTTGATATGCATTGTAGATACTGAAGCACAAGGAGATTGGAGGGGACATTGGATGAAAGTCTCATTAATTATGTGACTTCCAATTATCTATTGGCAATTTGCAATTACATGTTTTCCTGATGTTGTGCAGCTCCATATATCCATATAAACCGTAGTGTACTCTCAGCGCAGCATGTTTGAATAGCATGTATAATAACATTTTAAGTGGGGGAGATGAAAACCAACCCTCTTCTCATTAAGACTACCTCTTTTTAGATGCAAAACCCTCCATTGAAACTGACCTCAGATTCATGATCCTGATTGCTTAGCTGGGTATTACTTATAATTATTTGCTAAAGGGAAAATTCCTGCTATTTCAAACGTCATGTTTGATCTCCAGATGCTCTTTAGTGCAGGTGTTTGTTAAAAATGAAGCTCTGTTAGGTAAAAACTAGTCAGTATACAAGTATGAACTTGCTGTAATTAAGTCATGTACATGGAAATTAACAGTTTTTCTTCGTAAAACTATAAGATCCTGCAAAACGTTGAACATCTGTGTGATTCAGCATGTGGGTGAACATCTGCTTTCTATCACATGGTTTTGCTGCCCCTGTGCCCTGGAGGGCCACGGTTCAAATTACCTCCAGGAGCCACTGTGTCCAAGTATCTTTGAAAACTTCATTCCTTA